TACTTCATTTACTTGATCATATTAAAACAAAGTCATCTATGAACTCTACACTGGTATGATAATACTACATGTATATTACAAAAAGATTTGATACAGTTGATCATTCTATTTTATGTAACAAACTACAAACAATGGGTGTAAAATCCATAGAATGGTTTAAATCATATTTGACAGAGAGAAAGCAGAAATTAAATGTAAATGGTGTTGATGTAAAATGTCCCTATTCTTAAGTCAGGAGCATGTCGTTCAGTGGTTGTCGTTGGTTCATATCTGTCATATTTGTTTTTCGTAAATCGTTTTGTTATAAATTAGGCTGTTAGTTTTCTCAATTGAATTGTTTCACATATTTCATGCCTGGGGCCTTTTATATCCGACAATACGGTATGGGGTTTTCTTAATGTTGAAGGCCGTACGGTTGCCTATAATTGCTTACACTCACTTCATTTGAACTTGGGAGGATAGTTGTCTCATTGGCAATCATACCACATCTCTTAATTTCTATATTTATCTTATTTTCAAACAGTCACTTGTGGAGTACCTCAATGTAGTATTTTGGGTCCACAAAGGAACCTGGAGGTGATATCTGAAAAACCTTATAGAAATTGTCGATGTCTATCTGATAACTCTAAAAAAAACCTTTATATACTGCTTTAATGCAATGTTATTTTGATTATGCATGTTCAACGTAGAACTCCTGTTTGGGTCAAAAATTCAAATATCGAGTATTTCAACTTGACTTAATATCAAGTATTTCAAAATAAATCTGTTGAATTTGTTACAGATATGGAAAACCAAACTATCAGTGCAAATTTTGATGTATTGGGTTTTTCATGTAGAAAATATGATCAAACAACTAAGACTCAACCATGTATATAAAATATTTTATAACAAAAGCCCTTACTACATACAAGGCAATTTTACTAAGATCAAAAGCTTGTCAATATTATTCAACAAGATCTAGTGAATACATTTTTTTTATACCGGGCAACAGACTAACATTTTATTATACTGCTATAAGGAAAGGATTGGAACTTGTTGCCAAATGATTTAAAGAGCACTAAAGATTTTGAATCTTTTAAGTCTGATGTTAAAGATTTTCTGTCATAAATGGAAATCAACGATTTTAAGGTGGCTGGGGTGTCTTCCTCCATCTTGGATTTTGAAAAGCAGATAACAATCAGTCTAGATCTTTAATGAAATGTGCAAATTTCGAGAGTAGTATGTAATTCATGTGTAAAACTTTTCGTGTTAATATAGAAAATTATGTGTTTTATCATATTTTACGGCTGTATTTTACAAACAGTAGAATATTTTTTTTTGGTCAATTTTTTTCAACTGTGCCACATATAAGGGGAGATAACTCAGATAAAGTAACTTTTATTATGATGTACCAAGAAAACGAGTTCTGTGCCCCCACTTTTTCTTTTTCTTATCTGAAAGCATATTATTAGAGCTATCTTCTCATATTTTATCTATGGTTTAGTTTTCTTTTTATCACAAAAAATTGGGTTTTCCATGCATAATCTATACAAAATATGACAATTTTGCACAACCTGTAGCTCGAAAAAAAGCCCGGTGACCCATACTTTTTATTATATTTTTGAAAAAAGCCTGACATAAACTACTTTTTGACAAATTATAAAAAAAATTCTATGGATTTTAATTTAGACCCCCTATCTACCTTAATAACAAGTTTTTATTTTATTGAATGCTTGAATGTTCTATAGTCAATGTTATCATCGATTAAAATTTTAACAACTAGTATAAAGCCTGCCAAAAGTCATTATCTCTTATAACTATATTTTAATATTTTTAAGAATGTAACATAAATGGACCCCATTGGAAATAAGCCTTATGGCTTTAATGGGAAATCCAGATTAGGTATCAATAATGGTTTTACAATAATTATGTTTACACGTCTGCTATATATCTATACTACTTTTGTAATGTTTTATGTTGATATCTGACCAAATAAATATACCTATCTGTCTAATAACCAAACTTGAATGATCCTTATTGTATTTAGTATAAAGCTTATGTTTTTTATTCCGGTCCGTCAACATGCATGGCCGCCATGGCTAAATATAGCACATGGTGGTTAAACACAGTTTTTGGCTTATATCTCAAAAACTAAAGCACTTAAAGCAAAACTGACATGTGGTAAAAATGACCAGAAGGTGATATTTTGGTGACAGGCTTGTGATTTTTGAAGATGAACTATACTTACATCACTCCGCCATCAAGGCCCCTTTATATACGCATACACTTTCATAAAACTGAAGACTTCATTTTTAACTAGTGTAGCTTTTGCATGCTGTTTTTTTAAAGATCATAATAATATTAAAATCATTTTTTTATTAAGGCTACTCTTCAAACGATTTAATTCATAAATCATGTAATCTGATTGTCAAATTTCCTAAGTTTGTTATTTTGTATTTGGACCTATTTTCAACTGATCTAACTAAAACACAATATGATTTGTAGTAGATTTTTTTTTTTTTTTTTTTTTTAGGGCAAAAAAGGGGATTGAGCTTATTTCGCCCCTTTAACACAAAGTATAACAAATGGGAATTTAACAGGCCTTGGGGCTTATCTCGCCCTTTATTTTAAACTAATCTTAACTTGTATTTGTTTGCAATTGTCACTATTGCTTGCATCCTTTCTTGACTGAATATAAAGTTCTTGCTGTTCCTAACATCAAGCCAAGTGTCAAAACTTCTTTTGATGTATTGGTACGTGTCTTTGTTCTGGTCTTTGTAGTAGAGCTATTTTCCTAATGTTTGTAGTTTAAAGGTTTAGTTGGCTTGCTTGCTTTGTTTGTCTAAATGGCGGGGCTTCGGCTTGTATACGTTATACTCTGCATTATACTTACATGTAACATCCAATGACATTTAAGTATTATGTATACAAGCTGAAGTACCGCCTATCTAATGATTGCAGATGTCAATCTTAATTACAATGCTTGAGCAAACATTTAGACAAAGCAAGCAAGCCAACCAAACCTTTAAACTTCAAGCATTAGGAAAATAGCTCTAATTTAAGAAAGGTCATCGGTGTCAGACGACTTGGCTGAGACTTCATGACGACTGGAAAACAGCTGTATAAAATATTCATGTGGCAATAATAATTATGGATCTTTCAAACCTTTCGACTGTCTATCACATATTATTTTGTTTCCTCGTGTTCATGTGTTTGTTATTATTGTTTTATACCGTTATTTAGAGTTAATTGATTTTACTGTACTGTTTTTTGTTATTGTATGTTGTTTTATATAACTTTTGTGAGTAGACAAATTGAGTTTAGAATGGGGAGGGATGAGATTAGTTTAACCCCGCCATATAGTAATGAATATGCCTGTTTCGTGCCAGGAACATCGTCTGTTGCCGCAAGTTGTATTATATTCAGATTTTGTTATATGTAGAAAATGTGATGTCGATGACTAATTAGATATAAGAAGATGTAGTATGAGTGCCAATGAGACAACTCTCCATCCAAGTCAAAATTTATAAAAGTAAACCAATATAGGTCAAAGTACGGTCTTCAACACGGAGCCTTGGCTCACATCGATCAGCAAGCTATAAGCAAGCTATAAAGGGCCCCCAAAATTACTAGTGTAAAACCATTCAAACGGGAAAACCAACGGTCTAATTTATATAAAAACGAGAAACGAGAAACACTTATGAACCACATCAACAAACGACAACTACTGAACAACAGATTCCTTGATAGATTCTGTTAAACTTAATCACATTTTTTTTTCAAGTTCGGGATGATTAAGAGCTTGGCATGTTGTATAGAACCTGTTTATTGGTGAAGACCTATATATGTTGTCCTCTGGATATGTCTTTTTTTGTGTCGTTGGATTGCTGTCTGAACGACGCTTACCCCCACATCTCATGTTATTCATGTTGAGTTATTTTTTGAATGTTGTGAATTGTCCACAGAATTATGTCACCAGAACAATTATCGGGTGACATATTGCTTTACCTCTGTTTTTTTTTTTCGTATTATTATTATTATACTTCCATCTATTTTTGTCAGACAATGTCACCTATCATAAAGTTTATTCACTTAAATGAGGACCACCATCTGTAGAGTTGTAGTGAAGATTTGGAACTTATAAAATGACCGCTGTTACCATGGAAACTGCATGCAAAATATATGAAAAACTAAAGTTTTTTGTTTTTGGTGAACAATTTGAGTATGCCTGAACTTAAAAGCATATTTTTTAAAAAATTTTATACATCGCGGTTGTCCCACTTTATACAGGTTTTGGGTGATTTTGAGAATCATTGGAGCTACTATATATTGCCATGGAAACTGAGGAAAAGATCTATCTTTTGAATTTTGGAAATTGTCACTGTTTCCATGGAAACAGCAAAACTTCAATATTTCAAAATACTTCAAACCTAATGAAACTTAATATAGATGTTAACTGGCAAGTGTAAATGTGCCATAAAACTTTGAAATTATAAAACTGTAAAAATGTGAAAATTTTGAAATGTTTCGAAATTAATGAAATTTAACAGCGATGTTAACTGGCATACGACTTTGGAATTTTCAAAATGAGTACCGTTTTGTGGCAATTGGCCGGAGGAAAATCCGCTATTGCTTGCAATGGCAAATGTAGATTTTGTTAGAATTGGAGTCATGATACCTTGCGACGGAAGATTTTTTTTCTCGAGAAAAAAATGTTTACCTTCTTTGGCTAAATAAATTTATTGAATAAATTTAAGCACAAAACTATCTATCTAAATGTTTGGAATGGAAAAAAACCGTACTTGCATGATGGGTGCAAAATATTGTGTTTGGAATGAACCTCAATTCCACGCACTTAAATGATCTGAGATTTCAAAATTGACCTTGGGTTCAAACGATTTCTAGAGAAATTAGTGTCACTATTACCTTGAAGCTCTGTTTTGATTGCCAATATGATAGATGTTCATAACGTTGAATATAAAGATTTTGTAGCAATTGACCCAAAAATAAGAAAATGCTGATATTTTGAAATGAATTTATATTTTGTAAGTAAAAAAGCGATACATGGATTCAAGTGATGTAGCCTGTTTTGCATAAAGTGCTACACCGCTACCTCTGAAAGTGCAAATATTATAATTTCCTGTTTATTGAGAATTCCAACTTATGGAAAAAATTTTATGATAAAATGTTTTATCCATGATTTGAAGCTAGTCACAGGAACACATAGAACTGAGATGATTACAACCATATTGACATGCATCCTCACAATACTGGTCCATACCAGGTATTGTCTCATACCCACCAATAGCTTTACACGTGACCATCTGTATACAGCGACACTGACAAAGATTAGGAGAACATGCATCTTGTTGATCGCCACAGTAGGTATTGCACCACCGTTCATAGCCTAGACCAGCATAAACACCAACTCCAATACAATCAATTATTTCGTCTGCTTTACACGAAGTCACATGACCGGTGAAGGAAGTTGTTGTTGTAGACGGCGCTTTAGTTTTCGGTTTGCTTGTAGACGGAGCTGATGTGGTTGTTGGTTTTTTTGTGGTTGTTAGTGGTTTCTTAGTTGTTAATTTTGTGGTAGTCGATGGTGGTGGTTGAGTTGAAGCTTTGGTCGTTGGTGGCCTAGAAGTAACTGGTGTTGGATTAATAGGATTAGCTTCATCGTCAATGGCTATATCAGCACAGTTAATAAACGTTTCCTGTGGTCCATTGTGATTATTTCCTGCAAATAAAATATTGATTTAACACCACCACACGAGTACATTTCCGTGATTACGTTTTAGAGGAAACAATGTCAGTAAAATAAAGCTATGGACACATAAGTATAGTACATTGTGTAATCTGGTATTGTTTTTTGGTTTATCGGTAAGTAATCTCATGATCAAATGTTATCCCCCTGGTTGCAAATCTGACTTGATGGACAATATTTCTTTGACAAAATGCAAAAAGTCATCTGAAATATATCGCTTGTAAAATCGGTTTTAACTCTTAAAAATCATACCGTTCGCATAATTGTATAGGCATGTTATTAGATATAGAACTTTGCTATAAAGAAAATTGAAGATAATACGACCATCAAAACAAAATTGAAGCCTGCAAATCTTCAAACACAATATTGTTGTCTCCATTTTGACAAAACTGAAAGATAAGATCACTAACATTTTTTTTAAACGAGGTTACAATGATAAGTAAGAAAATAATAAAGTTGGTTAGAGAATATCGTAAAGGGTTCAGCGGATAATAAAAAACCTTTTTTCCAGTTTAAGTAAATAAGTGTGATCTCCAAAACCCAAAGCATTATTGACACAGCTTTGAAATTTAGTACGAACTTTTGATAACATGCACACAAGATAAAAAATACTTTAAAAGGACGGATAAACATTAACTACTTTAACTTTTGTCCTTATGTGTAATAGAATAAAGGATTTTGTTGCGCTTCGTTTGTTTTCGTTTCTCGTGGACTACCATGAACACTGTGACGTAAATTAAGAAACCAGGATCATGCTCTTGAAAACCCCATCAAAAGGACATGCATGTATGCTCTTGAAAACACACGAAATGGGCATATATGCTCCCGAAAACCCATTAAAAGGACATGCATGCACTTGAAAACACATACAAAAAACATATGCTGTTAAACACATAAAAAAGACATCAACAGAAATAAAAAGAGTGATAATAATTGATATTTATGTATTTTTACCTGCAGTATAATGCCATTGTAGTACGCACTGTTCACATGTCATATCCGCCGGAAGTGCCAGTTTGACATAATGTGATCCTACAACACTGCCAGGTTCGTACCGAGTTTCACCAGGTTGTCCTGCTAGCTCTAAGACGTTCTGGTCTAAACATTCCTGTGACACTTGAGTGGTTATATCGTTATTCGGACAAATTTTAAACACGAAGGATCCAAGATGGTTGGCTGTCAGCTGAATCTCGACCTCAATGTCTTGACCTTTCTGGTATCTTCTGGCAATAAAACCTGTAGCATATATTCCACCAGCCTCATTTTTACGCTCTCCGTCATATGGATCGCCACATGTGCCACATTTACCGTCGTTTTGATAAAATTGTCTCTGAAAATGTAATTTCAATATAACTCATTACGTCTGACATAAATACATATATACATATAACTATATACAAGTCTAAATAGAAAACAACGTTCAAACCTATGAATGCGTTGGATAAAAACCGCAATTTTTATACGTGTGCATGCAAAACAAATTTCTTCGTAGAGGGGTCTAAATAAAGCACAAACAACTTTTTCCAAAAGACCAAAAAGTGAAAAAGTTTATTTAAACAAAACGCATTTGACTAACAGGTCGAACAACGGATGTTCTCAATCCCTGCTGACTGCCTTTGGCGATTGCCAAATAAACGGGCCACAAGATGTAACAAAATGGATCTTTATTATTAATCTAATACCAAACAGAAACAATAAACTTGCGGAAAAGATGGTATACCGCAAACATGAGGTGCAAAAAATTTGTACACCATATCCGGATTTCGACAATTAATGTCTCTTCAGTGATGTTAAGAATCGAAACGGTATTTGGAAGACCATATAATTTACCTCAATTAAGGATAGACTCTTGAATGTTGAAGAGTCGAAATAGGATGAACGGATCCTATAAACCCGAAGGCAAATATAATACAAGCCCAAACGAAAAAATATAAATGAGTCTAAATTGAAAACAATGTTCAAACCTATGATTGCGTTGGATAAAAACCGCAATTTTTATACGTGTGCATGCAAAACAAATTTCTTCGTAGAGGGGTCTAAATACAGCACAAACAACATTTTCCAAAAGACCAAAAAGTGAAAAAGTATATTTAAACAAAACGCATTTGACTAACAGGTCGAACAACGGATGTTCTTAAACCCTGCTGACTGCCATTGGCGATTGTCAAATAAACGGATCACAAGATGTAACAAACTGGATCTTTATTATTAATTTAATACCAAACAGAAAACAATAAACTTGCGGAAAAGATGGTATACCGCAAACAAAAGGTGCAAAAATTAGTACACATATCCGGATTTCGACAATTAATGTCTCTTCAGTGATGTATGGTCCGACTATACGCGTATGGTCGGACCATATGAGTATATACTCATTTGGTTATTAACGGGCCGGACCATATGAGTATTTTGACCATATAGTAATTTTTTTCCAATATGCAAACTGTATTTGCATCGTATCATAGATCAAATTTATTTGTTCAGTGTATGTTCACTGGTGTTAATATGTCCTTTGATTGAGTTAAGCCATTTCAGTTGATATTGTGTAGTGTGTCTTTCTATGTTGTGATGTTACACTATTGTTTCAGATAAGGGTGAAGGTTTGGTACCATTAAAACGTTTAAACCCGCTGCAATACACCTTATCGCTATTTGTCCGCCATTAATGAACATCACACAGGTTCTCGTAAAATTTTGACGTCACAATACAAAATATCTGACGCCACAATGGAAAAGTGATTGTTGTATGACTTCAAAAGTTCAAGCGGGACAGACTCTCGGGTCAGCCGGGAATAGCGATAAGGTGTATTGTTTGCACCTGTCCTAAGTCAGGAATCTGATGTTCAGTAGTTGTCGTTTGTTAATGTGGTTCATAAGTGTTTCTCGTTTCTCGTTTTTTATATAGATTAGACCGTTGGATTTCCCGTTTGAATGGTTTTACACTAGTAATTTTTGGGGCCCTTTTATAGCTTGCTGTTCGGTGTGAGCCAAGGCTCCGTGTTGAAGACCGTACTTTGACCTATAATGGTTTACTTTTATAAATTTTGACTTGGATGGAGAGTTGTCTCATTGGCACTCATACCACATCTTCTTATATCTATTTAACCAATAATTGATGCCCATTTATCCTACTTGTGTCCATTTGTTTAGCAAGTAAGATACAGTACAAGTATGTTCAGCAAATAAGACATAAAAAAAATTGATGCGACGGTTGCCAGTAAAAAAACAAAACAAAACGAAGACGTTTTGACATATTGTAGTGTAATTTCACAATTGTATAAGAAAATGAATAAGCAAAGATAAACTTTCTATTTTTTTAACCAGGTACGCATAGCTTTGTTCACCAGACCCAAACATTACACGTTACTGACTGATTTGTTTCTGTGACATATTGTCTGAATCTTGGTTAGAGCCGTCGGTAGTCATGATAGTGTCAATCAAAAGCGTCCGTTTATATATAGGGTTTGACTTTTTATTTAATATTGTATTTAAACATTTCTTGAACCTGTCTTCTAAATTCATTCGTCAGGACAAATCGACCATTAATAAATATGTTCAGTATACTTTTAACTTGTAAATTGAATTCAATGGGTTATCCATCGTCACTTTATTCAATTTATCATGAAAATACTTATTCCCGTATCATGTCGCGCATAATCATGATTAAAAAAACTCAAAATTTTTAAATATTCATATTTTTTTATAAATTCTTCTACAATTTGAAATTAATAATTTTTTATAAAGTCTTTTTTTCATATCAAATCGAAGGGTCATACCTTTTGAAGTTTGTATTATAGTATTAAATGTAAAACCAATGATTTATACAGAAAGACTTAGTCTTACTATGTACATGCTTGATTAAACATTTTAACCGTCGTCGTGTTAATCACCCGGACCATATAAGTATATACTCATATGGTCTTGACCATACGCGTATGGTCCAAATACTCATATGGTCCGGAACATATATATATATATATATAGCATGCATAACAAGGGTGGCAGCTTGTGGCACTGTTTTATATGGAAAATCGGCGTTACTGATGTCTACGGGTGTAATCCACTTGTCGTAGCCACCATTCCGTCTTCTTATCCCGCCATTGTGAAATTACCGATTGCTACTTTATCGAATTTTCATTGCATGATTAACACGACGATTAATTGGTGCCATTACTGAAACGGACCTTCCGTGCATCTGATATAAAAATAATAACATGTGACATGATTGCCAATAAGACAACTATCCAACGGAGTTCAAATGATGTGGATTTAAACAAGCTATATGTCATCGTACGGTACGGCCTTCAATAATGAGCAAAACTCATACTTTATAGTTAGCTATCATCAGTTGAAAAGACCTTGTTCATTTTTGGTTTTTGTTGGGATTCCTATTGCTCAATATTCTGTTTTCTGTGTAACATTTTTTGAACCACTGTGTGTCTTTTCTTTTCTTTCTATTTAGCTATAGTACTGTCTGTTGTTTTTTTAATTGTTGGGTTCTTATGCTCACTATTCCGTTTTCTGTGTCACATTTTGTGGAATTCTTTGTGTCTTTTTTCCGTTTTTATACAATTTTTGCGGTCGTATATTGGTATCACGTAGTCGTCGTCGTCGTCGTTGTCGTCGTCGTCGTCAAAAGACACTTGGTTTCCGGACAATAACTTTAGTGTAAGTAAATAGAAATCTATGAAATTTAAACACAAGGTTTATAACCACAAAAGAAAGTTTGGGATTGATTTTGGGGGTGATGGTCCTAACAGTTTAGGAATTAGGGGCCAAAAAGAGGCCCAAATAAGCATCTATTCAGTTTCCAGACAATAACTTGTGTTTAAGTGTATGGATCTCTCTGAAATTATACACAAGTTTCTATATCACAAAGGGATGGTTACGATTGGCTTGGGGGGTTATGACTCAAACCGTTTAGGAATTAGGGGCCAAAAAAGGGGGGAAAACAAGGGTTTCCTGGTTAATGTACAATTAAGACAATTTAAAAGCAGTGTAAAGGAGGTAATCCAAACACAAACAATGTTTTAAATTATGTATAAAGGAATGTTGTATTGTCTTGAGGTGATTAGCTGTCAATTTACTTAAAGAAGTTACTATTAAATTTTAAATTTATGATGATTAAGGAATATTGATTTTAGCCATGGTTATGTATGTCATTTTCTATTTTAAGAATTTTATGATGTATTTAAATGGGTAATTATGGTTGCAAACTCCAATGGAAATTTGAATTGAGATTATGACCATATTTTGAGTGAAAGAATTTTTTGTTTGAAAAAAGGGTGGGGGAGATGAAAAAAGGGGGAGGGGGTAAAAAAGAAATTGTGGGAGGGGGACAACTTTTTCTCATTTCAGATTTTAGAAATTAAAAAGAAAATTTCTTCATATATTTAATTTTTTTGCAAAAAAAAGGGGGATAAAAAAAATTTTAAAAGGGGGGGTAAATTTATTTTTGTTTTTGTGTTGGGGAGTTGTTTGGAAAAGGGTGGGGAGGTGAAAAAAAGGGGTGGGGGATAAAAAAGAAATTGTGGGAGGGGGACAATTTTTTCTCATTTCATATTTCAGAAATTAAAAAGAAAATTTCTTCATATTTTATTTTTTTTGCAAAAAAAATGAGGGGGGGTTAATTTTTTATTTTATTTTTTTTATTTTGGAGGGGGGGTCAATATGCAACAGCATAGTGTATTGCAAAAAATTAAAAAAAAGGGGGGTATTTTTTTTAAATTTTGGGAGGGGGTAATTCGCAAAAGCATAGTGTATTGCACAAAAGCAAAAAATTTAGTACAAATTCAAATCCTATAAGCAATTCTAAGTTCTCAATGGTTTTGTTTTAAAGAAATGTTGTATTCTTTTGAGGTGATTAGCTGTTAATTTATTTTTAGAACTTATATTAAATGCTGATGAAGGAATTTATTTTTAGATATTACTATTAAATTTTGCTGATCAAGGTTTTCTTTTTTTAGCCATAACTTTGATGTCATTTTCTATTTAATACTTTAATGATGTCTTTAAATTTTCTATTTAATACTTTAATGATGTATTCAAATGGGTTTGGTTTATTTTTTGCATTAGAGTTACCTCCCTTACAATGGTTTTGTTATAAAGAAATGTTGAAATCTCTTGAGGTGACTATTAGCTGTACATTTATTTTTTTGAAGTAATATTAAATGTTGACAAAGGAATTTTTATTTTTAGATATTACTATTAAATTTTGCTGATCAAGGTTTTCTAATTTTAGCCATGACTATGATGTCATTTTCTATTTTTATACTTTTATGATGTATTTAAATGGACTTTTATGGTTGCAAAGTCCATTGGAGTTTACATTTCTTTCATGTATCTCAATTTCTATTCTGAAACTGTGGTTACTCAGTCTAAATTTTGTTAAGGTTCTTCTGCTGTTAATTTTTTTTATATATTAAAGATTGAAAGCAAATTTAAATTTAAAATATGCGCTTAATTTTCCATTATCTTTTGAATAGCAATTTACATAAGACTGCAAAATTTAGTATGGGTTCATATAGTGCTATGATGTCGTCATCGTTTGCATCGTCGTCAACTGAAAACACGTTTGGTTTCCGGACAATAACTTTAGTTTAAATGAATGGATCTCTATAAATTTTTTTAAGAAGGTTCAATACCATAAAAGGAAGATTGGGATTTATTTGGCAGATGATTGTCCCAACCGTTTATGAATTAGGAGCCCAAAAGGGACACAAAACAAGCATTTTTCTACTTTCAGGATAATAACTTGAGTATTTCAATTGCTCTGAAATTGTACCACAATGTTCAATACCACAAGTACAAGGTTGGGATTAATTTTGGGGGTTATGGTGCCAATAGATTAGGAATTAATGGCCAAAAAGGGGCCTAAAACAAGCATTTTTGTAGCTTCCAGACAATAGCTTGTGTGTAAGTGTATGGATCTCTCTGACATTGTACATCAAGGTTCCATATCACAAAGGGAAGGCTTGGGTTGAGTTTGGGGTAATTGCCCCAAACATGCAGGAATTAAATGCAAAAAAAAAGAGCCAAAACAAACATTTTAAAAGTTTCTAGACAATAACTTATGTTTAAGTGCATGGATCTCTCTAATATTGTACTACAAGGTTCCATACGTATACTCTAAAGGAAAGACTGGGATTGAGTTTGATGGTTAATGCTCCAAGGGGGATTCAAAAAGTTTAAAAGAGGGGGGTTCCAATATTTTTTAATCGGTTCATATTTTTTTTCATCATTTTTATATTTCAAATTTTTGAAAAATTTCATGAAGAAATCTTCAATTGCACAGTATTGCGCATTAGATTTGTAAAATCTTTGACCACATTTATTTTGTGTCAGAAACCTATATTATGGCAAAAAATTTGATCACAATCCAAATTCAGATAGTATCAAGCTTGAATATTGTGTCCAAATTTGCCCCAACTGTTCAGGGTTTAGACCACTGAGGTCGTATTAGGCTGCGCTCAGCGAAGCATTTTATTCTTTCTAATTATAGTATTGTCTGTTGTTTTTGACTTAAACATGAGTTTTGATTTCAATTTGATTTCAATTACAATGTTTTTTTTATTTTTGGGCCAGGAAAGTGTTTGAATAAAAACGTAAGTGTATATGATACAAGTTACGTCAAGAAACTAATGCAAATTATACTGCAGCTACGCCTTTGTCTTTATATATATTCTGTCAAAAAATATAGTAACAAAGTGATATTTCGTGCAATGTCGATTTCATGTCACAATTTCTTAACTATATGTGTAGCCATTTTAGCTGCATTAAAAAAAGACCAATATGCATATTGGCTCAATGAAGAAACATATAAAAAATAATTGTATTCGGCACGAAACAGTTAAGGAAGGGCTCGGTCGACCTCACCCTCCCCCAGTATTTAAGCCTCATACAAACCAGATGACATAAACCTGATATTGCAAGTATATTTACGTTGCGTGCAGTAATTATGATTTTCTCAACTGCATGGACCACCGTGAAAACTAATAAAAAGTTGTTTATATATCGATATAATTGTTTTTTACCTACAGCTTGTTAAATGTTCGTTTATTGTGTATCTTGTATTTTTAATTCTTAAATTTCCTAAACCTACAATATGCCACGCGTCAAACTATTATATATTACGGCTTTTCATAGAAACAATTACCTATATTCAAAATTAATTTATTTACAACGGTTGGTTTTCAGTAAGCTTAAACAACGCTTTGAATGAAATCCTAACTTTTTTTTAATTATCAGTGTTTGTGGTTGAAAGGGACAAAAGCAATGTAAATGTTAGAGTGAAACGCCACACGAAAATCTGTTGTTTTTTGCTATGAAAACAAAATGGCAGGTGTAAAAAATGCAAATTTTCATTCCGAAAAAAAAAAAGAAACATGATAAAATCTTTCAATTTCTACTTCAAGTTTTACAACGAACGACAATTTGTTAACGACACTAAAATGAAGTACACAAATAAGGCTCCGTCAGATTTGGAATTTATATTTTTTTCTCTATTTCTTATATTTAAAAAAAAATACAGAAGTATCTTAATCTGTTTATCATACTAGTATGATCTTACAAAAATAAGAAAATACAATGATTTCGTGCACGCCGACAAATTTATTATTATATTTATCAATGTTTATGGCCTCTTATTATGAAATTTTAAATGTGCAATAATACCAAAAACAGCAAATATACAGAGATGTGTCATTTTGTACGTGTACCAATGGGAAACGTAGTTCACAGCAATATTATTTTTTATTTCATTGCATTTAATAGAAAATGTGGAGTTTGTGGCATATCAAGCCAAAATTTTACAGATAATCCACAGACTTTATTACAGAGATTTTAGATATAACATTGTAAACGTAGATTACTCACTTGTGTATTTATTTTGTGCTAGCATTTATTGTTTTCAATAAGACTTAGCCAACATCTGCAGTGCCGAGTCACTAAAGTCGAACACACCATAGAAGGTGTACTTGCATAGGTCCATATGTGTGCTTGGTTTTAGTAATATCATTATTTAAAACGAATTTAAGGGAAATGATTGATTAAAAAAAACTTACAGCAAATCCACCACAAAACAGTTCATTGTCATTGTAGTTCGCTTCGAAACCTTGTCCTTTATAAAATCGCCAAAGACTCGATCTCTGTGGTGGGTCTATCATACGACCGTGTCCTGACACACTAATAAGGAGACAACTAACACTAAGTGCGATAGTTATTTCAAAAACCATTTCTAAACTTTGATGATTTCCTTACAACAACGAATTAAATTATGACGGAATGACCAATACCGTCATTTAATTTATATGCTAGATCACCTTGGTGATTAAAGGCGGGTTTGATTAAAAGAAATTAAAAGTAAACATTGATAGTATCTTAAAACACGACAAAAATCACTAACTTACAAGATAATGTTACCTGCCAAAGGGAGGATCCAGGTGTGTTTTATGAATAGCTACAGTACTTTCTTCATTATTCTACGTTTAATATATTTTAATTCACTACTTAAATATTTGCAGATGGCTTTTAATTATATAATAATAACGAGATCAAGTTGTTGATACTCAAGTTCGTGACTATAAAAACAATTAGGGTTTTATATTTGTAGAACTCATATCTAAAGCAAATATCATGACATGCTATCTTTTAAAAAATTTCAATTAGAAATAGGAATTTTATACATTTTTTTCAAAAAATATTTCATTTCGGTTTTATTTTCATTGTGATATACACGTAGATTAAGCTTATCTGGTGTCTATCGTGGAACAAAATCCAATTAGTCCCTTTTTCTTTTTAACCATGTTTCAAAAGTCCGTCGAGATTTCTCTTGTATTCATTAAATGCTATTTCATAGTAGATGATAATCATATAAAATAAACACCAGGATGTTAAGCATGACCAACTTTCTCTCGTCAAAATTAATTTCTTTATATAATATCAATGCTGGGTGGTTTCATGTTCATTTTGGTACATTGCGTACTGCATATTGACTACAAACTGAAAAATATAGACAATATTTATCAATCCGGCGGTGTGGAGGAACAAATGATGTTTTAGAGTTTTATGATGAATTCTTTCCCCCCATTAAATGGACATTTTATCAGTCTGTTGTCCATTTTAATTGATATGACTGAAATTGTATTGGTATAAATTTATCGCATGTAGCAAATGCTTAAGTCGTCTTCCTTGCGAGAGCATTACAATTTTGTATATATTGCACATCAAATGATTTAAGACAAATAGGTTTCGTTTGCTTTGGATGATGCTCTGATAGTTTTAGTTACAGGGGCGGATCTAGCCATTTATAAAAGGGGGGTTCCTAACCCAGGATAAAAAGGGGGCTCCAACTATATGTCCCCATTCAAATGTATTGATGTCAAAAAAAAGGAGGGTTCCAACCCCCGGACCCCCCCCCCCCCCCCCCCCACCCCTAGATCCGCCACTGAGTTATGGTGTGTTTACCCTCGGGCCTGCAGATTAACTTCTCTTGTGTGTATACTTGATCAAGGACCTGTATATCCCCAAGACATACAATTCCTAGGTAAAATTGAGAATGGAAATGGGGAATATGTCAAAGAGACAACAACCCGATCAAAGAGTAAACAACAGCCGAAGGCCACCAATGGGTCTTCAACGCAGCGAGAAAATCCCGCACCCGGAGTTGGTCCTCAGCTGGCCCCTAAATAAAATTGTGTACTAGTTCAGTGAAAATCATGGACGTCACACTAAACTCCAAAACATATAAACATGTACTGCATTTTTTTGCCTTTAGGTTAGTATGTTCATCAAATGTATTTCGAAGTCCATCCTTACTATTTGCCCAATTCGTAATTCATCTCCTGCACCCTTATATAACAGATATCTATCTTATGTGTCACGTGGTTTTCTTAATGTTTGCATTACTTTTGAATCTTAAGATGAGATTGTCGGGGAATTTATGATAGTATTTGTTAGTTGTATTTGCCATTATATTCTGAAATTTGACGATCTTAATCCAAATTTGTTTGCTTTATTGTATATTTGTATAGCGTTATCCCTTATTAGCAAAGAATTCCTGGCCACTAAAATCGGTGTTTGAAGCCCTCTTGATCTCTCAGTGTGGTGTGGTCTATTTTTTCCATGCTGAAGACTTCACTGGATTTTGGAAGGGACTGAATAATGCTTTGTGTTTTGCATAGTGTGCGTATAGGGATCGTGTGTCATGAATTAATTATATATTTACTATTCAAAATATCCAAATTTAAAAAAAAACCGTCTCAACGTATGAAAAGTTCGTACTGATTTTCTGATGTTAAGTATAGTTTGACACTTCCGCTGCTTTGCTTGGTAAAACGACAAGACTTCATACAGACAAAGGTAAATGATCAACGGCTCGGAACAGTAATGAAGTAAAACCAGAAATTAGTTTCACGCTCTTTATATTCTTCAAAAACGCAAGTAAAAGTGGCCTCGTGGGATGTACAATTTTTGGATGACTGTTTAAGGTACAACAAATAAATTGTGTTACTTAGTCAAGAAACCTTTGTTACCCTGACAATTTGGGTGAAAAAGGGCGTGAAAACTTTTGAAACTTATTCTTAATACATTAAGGACAAATTCGTAAAAAACTTAATTGACAAGATAATCTGTGAATATGTTTTTTACACACCAACTTGCTAATTATTGCTTGTGCTATCGTGCCACCTTAGCATTGAGCTATAATCTGTCAACGCTTAATTAGTTAGATTAAAGATTAGTTCGTTTTATGATGAATTGAAAAAAAAAGTTTACAAAAAGAAAGTGCGAAGAGATAAATTCGAATAAAATAACTGGTATATATCCGTGTTCTCAAGTAATATATTTTACAATATTTACAAGTGTGGACACAGATCAGTGTGGATAGTATGATTGGATGTTTGACAGTGTTTTATATGACAAAAGGAGTTCTATGTTTTATGTTTTCTATGTATTAACTGTGTTGCACAATGACAACCAACATGAGCATTAGGGGTGTTGTTTATTCAATATTTAGTTTTTTATGTTCAACACGGGCATGGAAGAGATACTAATTGCATTAATTACCAAATGATTATGATAGAATATGTTCCACATCTTTGATTTTGGATACATTTTGTAGCTAGGTGAGAAACACATAATAGGTTCATTTTTTTCATAATGTGATTTTTTTATATGGGAGATGGTATCTGAGAACATGTATTTGCTTACTATTTGTACGGTTCTATTTATATTACTTTGTGGTGGATCGTCAGTATCATAAGTAAAAGATTTCTGTTAAATGTCGAAATTTTTTCTCAGATTAGAAGACATTTAATGGTTTTTAGTAATGACAATGCCTGACATGATGATTGGGGCTAGAAAGTGAACTTCTAGTGTTATTTTTTATTAATTCTTTGAAAATATCTCCTCCAAAGCTGGTCAAAGCAAAAAAAAGTTTTGACCAGTATGAAAATGATATCAACAAAAGAACCTTTGTGAGCATGCTTCAAAGACTCATAACTAACTACAGAAGTCATATGATAAAATGTCAAGTGGATATTATGAACATCTAATTAATATGTCTAAATATCTAAAAAGTTTTAGTATTCAATATGAAAAAGGTATTGCAAAAGTATTCTCTTTTCATTTTTTTTTGTTATATGGATACAAATATAAGTGATATCAATACAGTAAGGCAGTTTTGTTATGGTATGAAAGTGTAGTAATTAACATTTACTGTTAGATCACACAAATTAAGATATAAACAAATGAATGATAAATGTTGAACATGTACAATGAAATATATTTTAGAAATTAATTAGGCCAGATAGGCCTTATAAATTTTGGTCTTTTTCTTAACATACTGAATGACCATTTACACTCAGGACTGAGTCGCCAGTAGGCTGTACAGATGTAAAAAAATTAAGTGTAACAAACGAACCTAGCATCATATTGCTATAGTAGCGCGAGTAGCATTGTTTGGTGAATTTGTGCTTTTTTTTTTTTTAAATTTGGCTGATGGACAAAAAATATTTGGTTCAAATCTAAATAAAATGCCTTTATCTCCCTATTACTTACATTGTACATAGAATGGATACTACTTTGACAATTCCTTGTACATGAGAGTTGTCTGTCAAATCTTTATTTCACAAAGAATGAATTGCATAACAATGAACTTAGCACAAAGCAAATCACTTTAATAATACACTTAGACAATGAGCTCAATCCAGTGATATACTTTGTACTACAGGTCCTTCATGAACATCCTATTGGCCAAAACCATATCTCACAAACATGCCATACTACATGGTTGGATCAGAAGTCCTGAAAAAGACATGAACTTTATTAAAATATTTTAAGTATATACACCGGTTAAAACTTTCACAAATTTGTGGTAAAATTCTTCAGTATCTAGCAACTATCAATCGCTTCATGCACAAATTGATATAGGTTGAGTACCCCTCTTTCGGAAATAAGAACATACCTCCACCTAATTTTAGTAAACTGATGAAGAAACATTCAAAACTATAAAATGTTATCTAATAGACTAGCTGCAATGAAATCCCAGTTTTCTAAAATGGTAGGTGGAACCTAAAACTCAAGAATTTTAAAGGCTACATTTTAAATATTGCAAATACATACAATAATAATTCTTCTCAAAAATTCGCTATATTTTTCCTTATTTTGTCTTTTGTTCGAGACTGTATATTGACCTCTAGATGTCTTTCAATTACATCCAGTTTGGCGTGGATTGATGTTTGATTGTTGTACATGTTATATATCCGACGTGGGATTTGTTTATTTAAATCAGGCGTGAAATAATTTTGGTTAACTGAAATCCTTTAACTTACTTCCAAACTAATGTTAATACTGAGGGAAAAAAATACATTGCTAAATAACCACTTCAAAACACATGCAAACTTTTTGTGAGGAAGGCATAATTAATGTAACATCTATTAGTTTTTTTTTAAACCATTCTAAACTTCTGATAAGTGATAAAGTTTGTTAAATGTTACTTACCTTCAAAAAGGGGGTTGCATTCACTTTACTACATATACATATAAATTTAATTAACAATACTGCAACACCAAGGATAAATAGAGGACTGTTTTGTAAGAATAGTTGCTGAAATAAGCAGGCAATATTCAAAGTAGAATAAAAAAAATCGTATTTAGGATTCTACGCATCCATATTACAGGACTGTGTTTTAAAGTAATAAGCATTGTGCAGGGCTCACGCTACCATGCGACTGGGGCGACAAAGTCGCTTTCCCGGTCGTCACTTCGCATTGACCGACCTTCAAAAGCGAAATCTA